CAGACGAATCCAGTCGGAGTTATATTAAAAATTGTCTTTGATCTTTCAAGCCGTTTAATGCCACTCAGTGGGTGTTGCATGCTTCAGTCCAAAAGCAGTTAAATAAAATGTGCCCATCTATAAAAAAAAAGTGTCTCACACGGCTCCGAGGGGGTGAACAAAGGCCTTCTGTAGCGAATCGATGCGTTTTTGTAAGAAAAATATCCATATTCAAAACGTAATAATCACTTTAATGTAGTTTGCGCTCACTGTTGTAAACGGAAGCAGGCAGACTCACTGCTCTGATTGCGCACAATGGATCTGCAACTAAATAATAGCTTTTAATCTTTTACATCTGCCTTAAAGGGTTAGGTCACCCAAAACTGAAAATTAGCCCATAAATTACTCACCCTCGAGGCATCCTGGGTGTATATGACTTTCTTCTTTCAGACGAATCCAGTCGGAGTTATATTAAAAATTGTCTTTGATCTTTCAAGCTGTTTAATGCCACTCAGTGGGTGTTGCATGCATCAGTCCAAAAGCAGTTAAATAAAATGTGCCCATCTATAAAAAAAAAGTGTCTCACACGGCTCCGGGGGGTGAACAAAGGCTTCCCTGTAGCGAATCGATGCGTTTTTGTAAGAAAAATATCCATATTCAAAACGTAATAATCACTTTAATGTAGTTTGCGCTCACTGTTGTAAAGGGAAGCAGTTCCGGGAGCATGACGTATGAGGTCAGCGCAGCGTATGCGCTGGTGAGTCTCGTGAAAACCAACGTTTGTTAACAGGAGCAAAGGAAGCAAAGTTTCCTTACTTTAGCAAAGGAAAACCAGTTTCCTCTTGGCTTATATCGAAATCCTCTGACATTCTTCTTTACAAATCCTCGTTTTGTACTTCTAATTAGTGACCGTTGTTTTGTTTTGCTCTCTCCCCTGCGCTTCCGCGTGCGTCACTTCTGAGCAGCGCATGCGTAGCGCCAACCTCATACGTCATCAGCCCGGAACTGCTTTCCTTTACAACAGTGAGCGCAAGCTACATTAAAGTGATTATTATGTTTTGAATATGGATATTTTTTAATGGTTATAAGGGATCCGAATACATTCCTCACAATTACCGTCCCTAGTAATCATATAAAAATTAGGCAGCAATGAAAAAACCCTTAAACTACATTTAACACAAATTTCCAGCATTCAAGTAACTTGCCTGTCAACACCACAAGCAAAAATCGTTTGAAATGTGACATATTTTAATGTATACCTCTAAATACAGCTATATTGAACATGATTTTCTCTATATGCCATCTTCACCATTAGACCATGAGCTCAGTATCCATATAAATATTCACATCCTGGCACAACACACACCAGCACCTGCCTACAAAACACCCATAAATCCACACAGTGCAAACACAGGTACTATTAGCGATAGTGCAAACACACTGATGCCTCATGTGCTACGTGCACTCACACACTCATATTACAGCCTCTTATTTGTATCGGGTTCTCAAACTACTTGTCATGTCCAACAGAGATTTCACATTTCTCACACCTCGCACATGACATCTGTGGACTTCTCACCCTTAAACGTTAACTGAACACTGGCATTACCATCTAGACTCTCCATCTTCACGTTTAAAAACAATGTGTTAAGTGCATTTGATCAACCTTGGAAGTTTGCGTCCTGTAACAGTCAAAAACCGAAGGTGTGGCTGCAGCAGATTATGAGCTTTCCCTGCCCGGCTTTTTTTTATTGTTATTGTTTTTGGCTCAGAAGCACGGAGCGCTGTAAACCTTCTCTCATTCCACCTTCCAATCCCCCTGCTTCAGATAACACTAACCACAAAAATCCAGTGGAACCAATTACCAGTCCTCCCGATGCAGTATACCTTGCAAATCAGGCCTTAACCCTTTCGATAGGCAGGTACTGCAGACTCCGACACACTCTTTTCACACCGACAGGCTACCTCTGATTTGCACTGGATGATGTTGAATTGTCAAACTAAACTACTGATGGGCCAATCTGACTGGAAAAACATTGCCTGAAGCATGCTGAGACATTGAGATTTACATTGCTTGAAGAAAATGCAATACTAGGGTAGTTTCCAGGGAGTTGCTATGAGATTGCTTAAGGAATTCTAAGTGTTTTATAGGTTCCAAATAAAGGGGGGTTTTGCAGTAATGCCATAGAAGAACCATTTTTGGTTCCCCAAAGAACCTTACAGTAAACGTTTCTTAAAAGAGCCATTTTATTTTTTAGTGTGAAGAACATTTGAATAATCTAAAGAACATTTTTCGACTATAACTAACCTTTCTATGAATGTTGAAGGTTCTTTTTTGAACCATAGATGCACATAAAGAGGTTTTATTTTTAAGATTAAGTATGAGCAAATGTGGTCAGTGTATTGACATATAGTGCAACTGCACTGACGGCGACCCGAGTTCGATTCCCGTCTCGAGGTCCTTTGCCGATCCCACACCCCTCTCTCCTCCCAGTAATTTCCTGTCGTCTCTCTACTGTCTCCTATCTGCATTAAAAGCCCATAAAAATTACTTAAAAAAAAAAGTAACAGTGATGCTTGGGTTAACGAGATCCGCTAATAAAAAAAGCTGTTCTGACCATCTGTGGATTTGTGTTTTCTGAGAACACGCCTAAGTTTACTTCACTATAGTACAATTAAATCCTAATATAATCATGACAAACTATATATCATTGGAAAGGTAGATATTTTACTGTTATATCTTGTTACAAATTTTGTAGGAACAGTAATAGATTAATTTATGACAAGAGTGCACCAAGAGTCTATGACAAATCTACATCATAACAGGAGTTCTGACCTTTGTCACAAAAAGTCTTTATTTCGTTGCCTTTTTCCCAATCTCATGTTTTAGTAATCATCATAAGTTATATACCATTTGAAAGCTTAAAAATCTCACAATTTATACTTCTTTACATTTCGTTTTCATAGAAATGGTATTTCAAAATCTTTTAGCGGTCTCCTCCCCCTTAGCAGGGGGTGTCATATTACAAAATGTATTGCAGTCTTTTAGAATCAAATTTTTTTATAATCTTGACAAAATACATTTAGTCTATTTTGATATAGATGTAATATTGAGAGAGAAATTGATAGATTTGTGACAGAAATGCATAAAAACATTCAATGGAGTTTGGGTGGCACCCGGTGGCTGTTTTTGGTATAACGCCTAAACAAAATTGCATATGAACCTCAATTTTTTTTATATCAACTTCAAATTTGGAACACAACTTATGGAGACATGTGGCTTTAATTTTATAGCAATTTTGCTTGTTTAACTTTTTTTTTTAAATATATTTATTTTATATAAAAATAAAATAAAAATAGTACAATACATTTTCTTTACAGTAAATTTAAACTTCTATAACTTTTTAATACTTTCAGTTTATTAAATGATTTCACTTCTATAATAATCTGCTAATTGTCTTCTTTAAAAAGAGACCAACCTTAGGTCTGTATTCAAAAGCGTTCATGAATTATAATATTTTAAGTTTGGACAGTGCACTTTCTCGTGAATTTTCAAAAATGGGGATGACAGTTAAGGGGTTAAAAGTTACAGAACAAGAAAAGGTGTGAGCAAAAAAGGCAATGTTTATGCTTGGTTACACACAGAGACCTTTCTCACACCTTTTTACTAGTGCAGGTCATGTTTCACAGGCCATGAGGGTAAAAATAAAACCTGGCTGCAGATTTCACTAGTCCTTTGGAGTTTGTTCATTGTATCGTTATAAATTACATTTGATCACTCTGACTGGGAAGCTCAGGACATGATTGTATATTTGTTTAAAGAATGTTACAGGAATACGAAAAAAAAGATCTGTATAAGAATTTGTGTTACATTTTTAAAAATGTATTGACAGTTATGCACTTACGGGTGAATCTTTACTAAAGAAATGTCATAATTCACCACCATATTGAAAGAAAATATGTATATATAATCTTTTTTATGCAAAATATTGCCAAAGTCTATGCTTGTATTTTAGTTTCTAAAATTAATTAATAAATAAATAACTAATATTAATAATAATAATAAAATCAGCTGATTCAAATGCAAAAATGGTCCTAAAATTTTCCTTATGCAAAACCTATTTTCTTTTTTTTTTAACTCGATTTTATGGGGAAATATGACACATTCTGGACATTTCATGATCGTAAGGGTGAATCTCATAAAACCTCTTAAAGAACCTTTCTTTCCTTAATAAAGACATCCAATGGCCTCTTTGCTGAGGTCTAAAAAGGTGGGGGAGAAGGTTAAATGCACTTTCTAAATTTTAATCTAAAGATGAATGAAAAAATCACATGAAAACCATGAGGAGAAAAAAATGTATATCATGGAAAAATGCAAAAACTGTCCTAAAAAGTACTTTATGCCAAATCTATATCCCTATTTTTTTTCTTCCGATTTTAAGGTGAAATATGTCTCATTCTTGACAGTTTTTGTGAAATTCACCCTTACAATAGAAGTCTGTGGGGCAAGTGCACTACATGCACGTTAAATCAGTCTCAAGGGACCTTTCATTCATTCATGAACACATCTGATGCCTTGCGTTGTCGTATATAACAAGTTTAGGCTTGTACACCGAGCCACACTTAAAAACAGGCTGCGATGTACAGTAGATTCTTCAGATTCTAGAAACATCAATAAACCAAAGACGGGTCACAGATAACAAATAAACTTCCCACAGTGAGCCCTAACCAACCCCACCCACATATATATACACATCTAAACCACTCTAGATTTGCCCAAACGCACTGCCATCTATTAGAGGGGGCGTTGAGAAAGGTTTATTACACAAACTAATACAGACACACATTGTGTTTGTTTCCTCCCACACAACTTTCTATCAACTGGCTCTTGAGGACACCTGGGTGAAGATGAATATGCGTACGTGCAACTGAAAGTCTGAAGAGACGTCTCTCTTACACCCAATCGCTTCATCTGTCCCATTTGTCGAGGATGTGGGAGAACGAGAGAGAGTAGCACTTACCGGGTGTCTACCCTGCGGGTACATGGTCACCGGAGGGATGCCGGCTATCGGTTTGACGGCCAACGCGCTAACCCTCCGTACTCCTGCGTCCCCCCTAAACCAGGGGACAGAGCCCCGGACCGAGCTCGGGAACCCGGCTCTGTTCTTTCCGAGCCGCAGAAGGCTGTCAGTGCATCCGACGAGGGGGTCTTCCAAAAACAGATCCCCGTACTCACACTTGGACTTGATTTCCCCCCAGAATTCCCTGACGTCCCGCTCCGTTACTGTCCGGCTCTCAGTCCGACAGATCAGGAGAGCAGGAGGAGCAGGGACTTCCAAAGAATCACGTCCAGCTGTCCCCGGTCTTGTCCTTCTGCAAATGTCCCCAACAAGCTACAAAAACAAACACGTATCTCCATTCGAGTCTTCCAACCTTGTAACAGTACCTCAAAACTACAGGGCTTCTTTGCTGAGGTCTAAAAAGGCAAGGAGAAGGAGGAACGGGCTTTGTTTTTAATCTAAATCTAGAGAGGAAGAAAAAAACACACAGGAAAGCAGGAAAGAACAGCAGGTCACTGGAAGATCCAGCAGGCTTTTCAGCAGCGAGCCCTGGACTGTAATATATTGTGCCTGTTGGCTTCAACACAAACACGACAGCCTGCTCAAGCTGCACTTAAGGTGGACCGGGCGAGATAGATAGAGGATAGATAGACGGAGGGATAGAGACAGAAATAGACACCAATACATGCGTACAACCAATGATGCATGATTTCTTGTTGTCGTTGCATTGAATGGCCGATAGATTCATATCACCATACAGACCTATAGGGAAAATAAACATGAATTAGATATCTTTCTCAGAGGGCAAACTGAGACATTTGCTTATATTTTTGACTGAAATAAAAACACCCCTCTTACCACAGTAATCTCTGGTGTGTCGTTTCTAGATCAGATCTCAACAAATGTCTCAAACTGTGCTCAGATCTTTTAATATACACTCAAATAATTCTCATCATATTTTTCAAAGACTTAATTATCTGAGCCATATTTATTTTAGAGAATATAATCTTGATTATACATTAAAACATTATAGTTTAAAACGATACAAAATAGGACATATGTAAACTGTATTGCTATATTATATTACAATACACATATATTACACACATATACCTATATGTTTTTATATAAAATTATATTACTAATTATACTGTTTAAATTATATAAAATTAGAAGTATATATCCCCTCTATATATATTGCACACACATACAGTATATCTATACATACTCAAAAATAGAATATTATAAATTATACATTTAGTTGCAAATTCTTTATATTTAAAGAATCATTTACTTAAATACTTGCTTATTATTTACTTTACTTACTGTATGTCAACAGTTGTCTCATTTGTCTCAATTTACTTTTCCTAAGGAATTCTGGAAGAAATAGCGGAGACAAAATTCATACTTCAATGAAGCATAACTGAAATCACAAATAAGTCTCCTGAGCTTTGAAAGAGCAACCTCTGAGCAATTAAATTTGCCTCAGGGGAGAAACAAATCAGAAAATAAGGGATGTAGAAAAGAGAGAGAGAGCGAGAGAGATGAGGAATGATTCAATTTGCCAGCAATTCCGTGAAAGCACCATGTGTGTCCAACCCCATATTTGCACGTTCGCCTCTGACAGACAAGCATTTATCTGCCCTTTGAGAAATAAACTGGCAAATTTAGTTGTGACTGCAACACTTACAACCTTGATTTATCCAGAGCATGTTCACGTCTCTTGTTTGTGTGTCTGAAAAACACATCAGCAAATTTCAGTCATTTTAATAACCCAGTCATCACTACCAGTTTCGTCCTCATCTCTTCATCATTCTCTTGTTCTCCTCATCCCTCTGTCTGCAACACCTCTCTGGTCAGGGATTGCCCTAATCGCCGTTATCTAATTGCGTGGATTAGACAGGTAATTATTCACACGACTCTCTTCCTTCAACCTCTTACTGATACGTGATGAAGCTGGCTGAGTACAAACAGACATCATGGAAATGACCGAAGAGACAATAATCTGCCCTGAACTGGTTGGGCTTCTGCATAATGGTGTCCAGGTAAGGGGTCAACAGGTTCGACACAAGATCTGACAAAAGATCATAGCAAAAACAGGGGAAGACGAACTGGATATTCATGTATAACAATAGTTGCGTAAGTGTAAACGCAGCTATTGTTATACATGAATATCCAGTGCACAGTTATTCTGACATTTTGACACATTATCTATCTATCTATCTATCTATCTATCTATCAATAAACATATCATGGTATAAATTCATAAATGTACCAGTACGAACACCATTTACAGCAATTAATCAAGTTCAGCATTAGATTCACATTCACATTTGACCCGAATCAGCACCAATGGAGATTCGTTCCCAAATAACGTGATTAAGTTCCTTGCATGTCACTAATTCTCCTAATAAAAAAAATTGTGCATTGTACACAAGACACATTTTATGAATCGTTTTAGTAGAAACTTCTAAAAGCTTATAAAAGATGATGAGGCCACTTAACAAAGTTTAGTGTCCTGAAGCGTGTTATGTTTACCTAAATATAAGCGGAAAAACAACGTAAATAAGGACAGAAATATCACCGGACCTGTTTAATTTTATTTAACTCTACTTATTTATGCGTGTTTTATATATACAAGACGTTATTTAAATATGAAAAGAGCAAATTACACGAGATAAATCGGACCCCTCACCTTTCTCCAGACCACCTTAAAACTTGGCGGCTGTCGGGCACTCTCTAGCTCTCCTCCGATTGGCTATGGCGACTTATCTGTTCCAACCAATCAAACCGTCCAAGTCCCACGTTGGCCCTTGACATCAGAGGCTGCAACGGACCAATCGTGGCGTTTGCGGCCGCTGATTGGCTGCGGTCTGTGAGGAGGGCGGGGTGCAGTCTATAGGGATTGTGGGCATTGAAGTTCCAATTATTCCGCACCCCCGCCGCTCCCGCCTCCAGCTGCCAATCACGCCGCATAAACGATCACCTATGTCTGCTAATGAAAAACGAGCAACGTGTAGCACCTAGTATTGACTGCCTTGAACAATTAAGCGAAATAACAAATAAACACTCTCTTTATTTGGTGAGTCATAGTGGTCCTATGATAACCTTGTAAATTAATGAGCAGCTTGCTTATTAAACAGATGAAAATTCTATCATCATTGTTCTGCCATGCTGTTCCAAACCTGTATGACTTTTTCTTTAATGGAACACAAAGGGAGTTATTACAATCTCATCTTTACTATGGTACCACAAAGCTATTTTTGGGGGCATGTTGGTGACTGCATACTTCACAGCTCATAACGGTATATAGGTCTATAATTAATAATCATAATACACCAACCTACCTGCAGTGCTAATCATGATTATTTAAAATAATTAAAAACAACATTTAGTAATTAATTTTAAATTATCTTATTGTTAAATTACATATATCTATTTAAAAATATTTTAAATCGTAGGAGTGCATGTGATGTTGCCTTGTTGAACATAATATAGGATAGATTTTCCGATTTTATGCTAGTTCATCTATATTTCCCCCCAAACAATATTTGTTTTTACTTTTATTTTCATATTATATATTAAATATAATAATATTAAAATATTGAAATGGATAGTTCACCCAAAAATAAAAATGTAGTTATCATTTACTCACCCTCAAGTTGTTTTAATCCTGTATGAATTTATTTCTTATGTTGAACACAAAAGAAGATATTTTGAAGAATGTGGGTGTCCAAACAGTTGACGGTAGCTATTGACTTCCACAGTATGGAAAAATACTATGGAACTCAATGGGTACCATCAACCATTTGGTTACCTACATTCTTCAAAATATCTTATATCTATAAATAAATTATAATATTTATTATAAAAATGTATATAATATAGTGCTGTCAAACGATTCATTGCGATGAATTGCATCCAAAATAAAAGTTTCTGTTTACATAATATATGTGCATGTACTGTATATATAAATACACACACATACAGCATATATTTGGAAAATATTTACATGTATATATTTATATTCATATAATTTATATTATATATAAATATATTTAATATATAAATTTAACATTTTTCTTAAATATATACATGCATGTGTGTTTGTTTATATATACATAATAAATATACACAGTACACACACATATACTATGTAAACAAAAACTTTTATTTTTGGATGCGATTAATCATTTGACAGCACTAATATAATATTAACAATACACACACAAAGCCATTTTTATATTATTAAATGACTAGCATTTTTACAGTGAGGTGTGTGCAGACAAGTGTACGTTAGCCTACCGAGCACACGCGTGCACACAATGAAAGAAAAGACAGACTACCTTTGTCAGTGAGTATCGATTGCTCTGATAGATGTGGTCTATTCTTTAACTGAACTAAGCTCCGATTGCTAGCGAGCGCATCAGCGTGGTGGGGCCTCCCATCTCTCCAGTAATTAACTTCAGGCTTCACCTGTTGTGGCAGCTCGAATCGGAGTAGCGTCTCGCACTATCAAACACGACACAGACTTTCCTCAGTCATCCGCCTGTAAGTGTGTCACGAACTACAGATCTTTATCCAAAAATGCTGCTTTGCTTTATGTTTCACACTCTTTGTTATACATATCACTCTACCTATAACAAGTCATAATTATGAGTTGTAAACTCAGTATTCTGAGAAGAAAAGTCTGTGGGATAAATTCACAATTATTATCACCAGCTTTCACGTTGCTCAATAGCTAATTACCCTCCTCCATCCCCAGCTCCTCCTCTTGTTCAGTCAGGATTCGCCTTCTGATTCCCCTTTGAATCAGACTAATTTCTAAAATGTTTACATTAATTGATTTAACATTAACGATATCTACAAAACATTTATGTTGGTTCTGTTCTGTTTACCCCAGGGGGGTTATGCCCAAAACAGAACCATACCGCCAATCCAAACTGTATGCTAATTGTCAGTCATCTTTAACGATAGTCGTCCTGACAGAAGTGATTTGAATGCATCTGATATCATAATTACGACTTCCCAATTTGTAAATACAAACTTCCCAGGAGAACTAAAATGCCCTACATGTAGTGATCTCCACTTGCTGCTGCATAACCTTGCTGTTACAGGAAGTAGAGGACGGGCGGCATAAATTATGACTGATCTTTTGCTGTCCTAAAGTGTGATGGATCTGAGTAGGAGATTTTGACATTGGGAGACATATTTGCATATTCTATCATGTTGGAGACCGCAAATGATAGTGAACGGACATCAGTGTGTATTAATGTGTATTAAAATCAACATAAAATGACATTCACAACCCATTTACAGTAGCTCCTTAATATGATGTATACATGAGTAAAAAAAGAATATATAATGAGGGGAAAAAAGGGTGGGAGTTTATCAAATGAAAAAATCTTAGTGTATTTACAGTACTTACAACATTAGGCAAAATCTATCATACAGTATCTGGCTAATTAATATAAACCAATGGCCTGTGTGGCCTAGGTGAAAGTTGTTTAAAGGCAGAGAAAGTTATTAAATTTTGAAGAAAGAAAACATTTATTCTTTACAATAACATGCTCAGTATGACTAGGAACATTTAT